CAGTTTACAATTAACCTCATTCCTACAACTTCTGTTTTGAAGTCTGAAGCAAGTATATGACTTCCCCAGGGGCATGGAGAAGAGAAAGTTTTAAGATTATCCTGGCCAGCGGGATAGCTCAGTGGTCTAAAGTTCCTGCTTAGGCAAGCCCAGGGACCGTGGTTTGATCCCCGGCACCACATGCCATGCCAGCCCCACTCCCAGGGTGGGCTGAGCTGACCACAAAAAAATAAAATAAAATAAGTACAATTTAAAAAAAAAATAAAGAAATAGAAGTGTACTTTAAAAAATAAAATAAAACCCAAGAATAAATTTAAAAAAAATTATCGTCCAGTGCATGCTGTGGTCCTGAGGAAGAGCTGGGGGCCGAGACGTCAGCCAGTGCTATTGCTAGGACACAGGCTGGGCCGGGGCAAGGAAGGGGAGTAACAGGCTTTCCTGGGCGGAGAAAGGAAGCAGCCCAGTGACACGGCTTCAGCGGCTTCAGCACGCTGGGACCGCCTGCTGTCCTCATCGCGCGGCTAGCCAGGGACGGCAGAGCAGGAGGGAAGAGGAAGTGTGTGGCGTGGCGCAGGAACCGAGCTGCTTCTGCCTGTGTCCAGGGAGGAGGCGTGGCTCGGTGTCAGCCTTAGGACTCACAGCAAAGCACTGTGGAGCCAGCAGAAAGAGTGGGTGGGCTGTGGCTCTTCTCCCATAAATGTAAAACTATAGGAAGACGCCACAGAAATGGAAAGGCAGACAGACAGCGAAGTCCCTTGATGCATATGAAATCCCAGAAGCCAGGGATTATGTTAAAACAAAAATGCCACGAGAAAGATAAGCATAAATGACACTAACACTAAAAACACTGAAAAGGGAGATCCGGAGGAACAATATCTAAAGCTTATCTCAATAACTGAACAAGAAGTCTACATACAAAAGTCTTTTAAATTTTTCCTTAGGTGGATGTGGTAGAGAGCTTGCTCGTGAGGTGAGTGAGGTTCTGGGTTCCACTCCCTGAACCAGAGACTGCACCAACCAACCAAAGCAGACCAACCGACCCAGGCCCAGCCAAGCCCTTATGTGTTTCGCTGCATAGAAAGGTGCGAGGAAGTCAGGAGAATTGTAGGCTTAGGTGCGAAAGCTGTCTTGGGAGAAAAAAACTGAAAATAAAGAGGGGTGTGTGGGTTGGACCAGGGACACACACACGCCAGGCAAGTGCTGTACCAGTGAGCTACACCTCAGCCCTTCAGGAACTAAATGTAAAATCCCCATCTGTGAAGCCCTTAGGAAGAACACAGGAGGGGAGCAGTGAGCTGTCCTGAGGCTGGGACACAGAACCAGACACCTACAACTTAAAGAGGAGTTTGCACCTCAGAGAAAATCTGGAGCCAGAGCTAGTATGGACCACTCTGAGTCCCGGCTTCTTTAAAGCTTTTACTGTTTACTACTTGAGGGTCAAATCCTAATAAAAATCAAACACTTTTGGAAGTTTTACATATCCACCCATAGTACTGGTACCTTCTTTCCCAAAGTAATAGTAATTTTAAGGCTTTTGAGGTAATCCCATGAGGATGAAAGGCATGCTTACCCAAAATTCTCACTAACAAATCTTCACAGTGATGGGCAGAAATTTCTTGACTTTTGAAGCACTTGGATCTTCATATTTTTTCGCATCAAATCTTAGTAGTTCTACCAATTAAACAAAACCAGGGCTGGCGGGGATAGCTCAGTAGAATAAGCACTTTCCTGGCAAGCGCAAGGACCTGAGTTCAATCCCCTGCTCCACCAAAAAATAAATAAAATAAAGTAAACAAAACCAGTCTTGATATAGTATAGGAAGAACAAGCACCTGTGAGAATCTTCTTTTTATGCTATGGTCTTCCCATTTATTTCTTTTTTTCATTTTTTTTTTATTTTATGTGTGTGTGTGTGTGTATGTGTGTGTGTGTGTGTGTGTGTGTGGCCAGCTCAGCCCACCAGGGGGCGGGGCTGGCTGGCATGTGGTGCTGGGGGATTGAACCGCGGTCCCTATGTTTTGCCAAGCTTGTTCCAAGTAGGTGCTTTAGACCACTGAGCCATCTCACCAGCCCTTCCCATTTATTTCTTTCACTTACCTGGAGTTGCTTCAGAAAGGGGGGGTCACCACAGTGTTGAGGTTGATCATTCAGCGAGTTGGTCGTTGCAGCTTTCGGGCCGTCAGTACTTCCTGAGCCATTTGGACCTTCCCAAGGAAGTATGAAGCACTTTACACTGAACAAAATAAAGATGACAAAGTAAAGGCAGCCTGCCTGCTAGGATGGTGCTGTGGGCCCTGGCTTGTCTGGGTCCAATTTTGGCTTTCACAAGGCAGAGACATAACTGTCTTTGGCACCAAGAGCCAATGACTAGAAGACTCTAGCCCTGTTGACTAAAGTCACCCTGCTTTCTGGGAAGCAGAAGGAGTTTGGCTGGGACAATGGGAAACTAATTAGAAGCAAGCAGGTCCCTCAAGGAAAAGAGCAAGGACAGATGACCCAAGCCCCCATGTCTAGAAGTTTGGGCTATAGGTCCTGGTCAAAGCAAAGTGGAGGAATGGACTTACCACCTTGTCAGGGCCGTTACTGTCCAATTGTACTTCTGTAAACTTGGTCCACGGAGAAAATCACCTCAGACGTATTTCTCACCATAAGTAAAGGCCTCAGGCAAATTCCCATCTGGATGCCACCATGGGCCACCTTCTTTTCTCTTCCAACAATTACAGTCTCCCAGAGGAAACCACTAACCACTTCCCATATTCAATTCAGCCTTTCTGTCAAGGAAGTAAGTATATATCATCTTGGTCAGTTCTAGGCTTCTAGGAAGCTGCAGCTCATGAGAAGTAGGTGCTCATAGATGTGTTCTGGTTCTGCGGCCATGCAGCAAGTCTGGCTTCTCCTTTCAGCATTGCTGTTGGTTGGTAAGGAGTTGGGAGTAGAGATGTGGCATTTTCCATGCAATTTTGCTAGATTAGTTCAATTTTTTGTCAAAATATCTCTGTGTTGGTCACTTTCCTATCCCTGGGAGAAAATACTTGACCTCTGCCCTTAAGGGAAGATTATTTGGCTCATAGTTCCTCAGGGGTCAGTCCATGGTCCAGTTGGCTCTGAGGAAGAAATGGCCCCAGGAGGGGGTCTGCTGGAGGAGGCAAAGGACGACGCAGAGCCAGAGACAGGCACGTACCCTTGCGGGCCTCACCCCGGGGTCCCCTCTTCCAACCAGGGTTTGCCTTTAGTAGCACGTTCAGCTGCAGACACGTCCCTAGAATCCACAGGAGGGTGCAGCGCCCCCACAGCCCAGCCCCCTTGCAGAAGGCCCAGCTCTGAGCATAGCGAGGCTCTAGGGGTGTTTTAGACCCAACACATGACAGTCTGTACCCCTCCAGCCTATCTCTTTCCTTATCTTTTGGCAGGAGAAAGTGGGTTTATTGAGGCATTTGTCTACATACACTGGCATTTCTGAGGGCTCTCTTTGTCAGCTGCTAGCTCAAACTATGTGAGACCTAGGTAGAAAACCAGGTAGGGGGCCGGGGAGATGGCTCAGTGGAATAAGTGCTTCCCTGGCAAGCACAAGGGTCTGAGTTCAATCCCCGGTTCTGCAAAAAAAAAAAAAAAAGAAAAAAAAAAAAAAAAAAAAGAAAGAAAAAAAAGAAAACCAGGGAGCTTGACATTGAGTCACATGTGAATCTTGGGATCTCAGTCCTCTCTACCTCCTCTCCACTTCCAAAGTCACCTTGTATTTGATTTATAAATGATTTCCAGGGTATTTAAGATCTTAGTGAATGAAAAGACTAAATCAGAGAAGTGAATCTGCTCCATTTTTTTTAGAACCAGAAATCCAGTGGAAAATACTGTTTTATCCCTGGGTAACCAACTGTCTCCACTTGAAGGAATGGTGGATTTTCTCCAGCAAAACACTAAATCTAGAAACACTTGTATTCTTCTAAAAATGTTGAGGGATCCTTCCTCAAATAACTCCACTTTGCTGCCACCCACTGTGCCATGGCTCAGTAGTTGAGAGACAAGGAAGGAAGGACAGGGGAACCAGCAGGTGGGCAGATAAAACCTTCCTCCCACCTTCCCTCCCTCCCTCCCTCCCTTTCCTTCCTTCCTTCCTTCCTAACAAATCCCATACTTCAGTATATATTATCATCGGTACTTTTCACCCATAACTTCCCTTCCCCCAGATAATGATGAAATAAAGAAAAAACCTTTTTTTCCTTGTTATTCTTTTTTAATTTGGATCTAATTGGACCAGTGCCCTCTCTGCTCCATCAACATGCCACAGGATCTCTAACCACCACACACACCGAGCCAGTGGCAAAGGCATGAAGTCGTAGCTTGATGCTGGCCTCTGCTCGCTGGGGGTCACCCTTACGGGACCACTGAGGTAGCGACCGGCAGAGTGCTAATCTCACTACATAGCTCTTTCTTGGTCTAGCAGAAGATGCATCCTAGGTTTGCTGACTGATTACGCCGTAAGCTGGAGGTGAGGTGTTGTTCTGGAAGATTCCTCTTTCCACGTGCCTTGGGGGTTTTCTAACTGAAGCTGCAGGTTGGCCTCTTTCTTCCCATGAGAGCCCTTGCAATGCGAGTGTTGAACTGGTTGCTGTGAGCTTTTTTGTTCAGACAAGGGTCTGAGCTCCGGAAGATGCGATCTTTCTTGGGAAAGGCGCCTCCCAGGCAAGGCAAGCTGCTTTCTACTCTGCCTGCTTTCGGTGGCCCCTGGACGTTCTTGCCCTGCTGGTTTCTCTGTGGTGGCATCTCCGGTGATGGTGCCTCTGGGGACAGGCAGGATGCCCTGAGGATCTGCATTCTTTGCTGTAGGATCTGACACTGGCTCTCCAGCAGGGCCGCCACCACATGCAGGGAGTGTGTGTCCTGGTTCAGCCTCCGCACGGCTGCCTCCAGGGCCTGCCCAGCACACACATGGCTGAGCGGCTGGCTCTGGAGCTGGGCCCGCTGGCCATCCTCAGCCACTCCTTGGTCCCTTTGAGACTGCTGGTATGACCTCAGGAGTTTGCTGAGCTCCATGTGCTGCTGGCTCCAGTGTTCCGCCTCCTGTAGCAGCTGCTCCATGTTGTCCCGGAGTTTAGCATTTTCTTCTCGGTGCCTAGAGGATGCTTCTTCCTTACTCAGCTGAGCCTTGGGAAGGCCTCTGTGGCCTTCCGAATGTTTTTCCCAAGTGCTTGCGGAAAGGTGTCCAGTGTTCTTTGGGCTCTGGCTGTCCGATGTCAGCCTCTGCCTTTCCTCTAGATCTAAACAAAGGAGCAGGTTTTTGGACACCACTTTATCGGCCTGATCAGGGCCTCTGGTGGGTTCTCGGTGTTCTGAGCCATCCTTAGAAATCGTGCTTCCCTCAGAAGTGTCTTTGGCTTCCGTGACCCCTCCAAGGTCCGCTACACTCTTCAGGACATCTTTAAGGTCCTGCAGGATGTCCTGAAGCTTCTGCGTGGCAAGTGACCCCGACACGTGGTGGCTGGCTGTCTTCGGGGGAGGGAGGGAGCTCCAGCATAAGGGGGACGGGGAGCTAATTTCTAGCACGGAGATGGTGACCTTGGGCTCTGGAGCCTCAAGGTGGGGCCCAGGAGTGGGGCCAGAGGTGTGGGCAAGGGGGTCCGTCTCCACTGAGCTGTCAGAGCTGGCCATGGCACCTTGGAGAGCCAGAAAGGATGGGACCCCCTTGGGAGCAGGCCTGGAGAAGCTGGAACCAAGATGGTAGGGAGCAGAGGTCAGGCCAGAGGCTGGGGGTGGCATTCAGGTGGAAGGTGACATCTCTGGCGGCCTGGGGGACGGGGGGAAGGAAGGGGGACCAGGAGCTGGGGCTCCATCTGCCTTTTCCGAGGCTCTGATACTTATTCCCTGGCCCTAGCAACCAGGGCTTTATTCTGTCACTGCACCATTGTGGCCTGTCCCCAGCTTCAGGACCCTGTGTCACAATGGAAGCCTCTGATACAGTGGCCTTGTGACTCGAGGTCCACATCCACCTTGAAGCCCTGCCCCCAGATCTCCCTGAATCCACTCCCATTCAAGGGAGCTGCTGCTGGAAAGGGAAGTTAGGGGTTCAGGACCCCCAAAGGGCTGCGCTGTTTTGTGACTGTAGAACAGTGTCTGGAATCCCTCCCAAGTGCTCTCGGGACGCGAGCACAGACTACCACATGGGTCTTTAACACTTGGTGACAAGTGAGTGTGGTGGTGCGCGCCCGTAATCCCAGCTACTCCGGGGCCGAGGCAGGAGCGCCCTGAGTTTGGGGTCAGCCTGGGCGATGTAGCCAGATTCTGTCACAGACAAACCCACAAAACACCACAACTCAAAAGGGGAAAGAGAAATTGGACCCTACAGTGCACAAATCGGGCCTCTTGTATTTGGATATGGCAACTTTTAAGACAGGCTTCACGGCCTATTTATGAATCCTCTGCCTGCCCTGGGGGTAGTTCTTTGCTTCTACCTTCACAGTGGCTGCTTACCGTGGCCCCTTAGCCACAGCACTGGCCACGGCCACATCCATCTTCCGGCTGCACAAAGTCACAGAGCAACTTGGCACCAGCCTACTCTCGTCTCTTGTCCTTAGGGTCAGAACCGTGGGAACATGAAGCTTAAGGCAAGCTCTTGCTGCTTGCTGGTACTTTCTTGGCCTTCAACATTTTGCTTCCAACAACCCTACAAGGTAGACTTTTGTGTCCAATATTGGGATTTTTCCTTGGCAAAGACACCTCTGTGTTTTTCTTCCACAGCTACCAACTCCCAACTCCCCTTGGCTCCGGTTCCCTGAGCCTCAGGTTGGTCACTCCGCAGGGCTGAGGGCCAGGGGAGCTGGGACCCTGGACCAGTGTGCAGGCTCCATATCTCAAGGAGGGGGGCTCCTCCCCAACCCCATGGGATGCGCCCGCCAGCGTCTATAACCCTTTGTGAGACAGGGTTTCACTGCGCAGTTCAGGATGACCTTAAACTCACTTTGTGGCATAGGCTGGCCTTGAACTTGCAACAATTCTGCCTCAGCCTCCGCATGCCAGGATTATGGGTGTGCACTACCACACCTGGCTGACTTGTCTTGATTTTTAAGGAAATTAGTTAAGGCAGTTCAGTCAAGATAAAGTTCTTTTCCTTAGCCAGAAATGCTGAGACAGGGACTGAGATTGGTGGCACGTGCCTGCAATCCCAGTGCGTGGGAGGCTGAAAACAGGAGAATCACTATGAATCCGATCTGTGTAGTGAGACCCTGTAGACCCTGTACTAAATACATAAAAAAAGAGAAAGGGATTTAAGTATTTCTTTTCTCCTTCCAACTATAATGAATTCCAAGAAACATTTCTGTTGATTTTACTGAAACTGAGTTTATGGCGGATGCTAAATGTCACATAGGTGGTAAGATGCATTCCAACCTGGCAGCTCCCCGTTCCTCCTCCTCCTCCTGCTTCATTTCTCTTTTCGGCCTTTCCCCTTACTGTCCTGCATTCCCAGGGCATAGCTGTAGCACTCAGGCACATTTGGATTGTGCTACAGTTTTTGCTTGCTAAGTTTCTCATAGCTCACCAACTTAACAAATGAAAAAAGGGCTACTTCTAAAGTTATTAGAGAAAAAATTATTGTGGGAGAGTATTCTCTTTTTAAAACCAGTTTGGCTCTTCAAATGAATATTTTGAAATAAAGTCACTGAGAAAGGAAAAAAAAAAACAAACCAGTTTGGCTTTATGAAAATATAAAATCCTGAACAGGTGAGGTGGCGCACACCTGCCACCCCTGTAACCGAGGAGGCTGAGGCAGGACGATTGCAAACGGAAGGTCAGCTTGGGCAGCTCAGTAGGAGCCCATCTCAAAGGAGGGGTTATGAGGTAGCTCTGCGGCAGAGCTCCTGGCTCAATTCGTAGTGTTGTTAAACAAACAAACAACCCCTTTCTCCAGTGCACTTGAAATTCAGCATAAACACAGTGGGCTCCTCACTAGTCTTGCGACAGAACTGATCTCACATGGCTCCAGCCAAGCAAAAGAGGCAGCATGGGGGCCAAGGGTAGCCCTGCCAAGGGACCTAGAGGCCAGAGGCCGAGGCTGCTGTACCTGGACCAGGGCTCCAGGTGTGTGCCCCTGGAGCAGCTGGCTGTCTCTGTCCCGACCCCACAGCTCTCTCTCTAGATGGCAGACCTGGATGGCTCTGGCTTCTGTCCTGCCAATCCAGCAAGCCCAGGTTAGGGACACTGGGACACAGCCTATAAAGGTACCAAGGAAGGAAGGTGTTGATTGGCCCCATGGGGCCACGAGAGGCCAAGCAGGACAGAACAGATGCAGACAGCTGCTGTCAGAAAAGAGGACAGGCCTGGCGACTGTCACGCAAAGCCCCGGGCCACCTGGGAGCAGCGTGCCCACTCGCAGACTCCTGGGCAGGCTGCGCACCGACCTCCCTGCGCTGGGGCCCTGCCTCTACTGGACTCTAGACTGTGGCGCAGACTTAGCGGGAGGTCTCTAGGCTGTTTCCGTAGTGTGGCCTCTTCTTTCTGTCCACCAGGTGGTGATGTAGGCTTTAGAACTTACAGATGGTGTGTGTGTGTGTGTGTGTGTGCGCGTGCGTGTGTCAGAGACAGATGAGATCTGAACTCTGGAATGAGTGGAATCCTTGAGGTGCCCACACCCACAGTCTCTCTCTCTCTCTCTCTCTCTCTCTCTCTCTCTCTCTCTCTCTCTCTCCTCCCCCTCCCTCCTCCT